GCGTTAACGAAGATTCTTATAACGAAGTCCTGATCGGCTGGATCAGCAACTTCGTTATATCGAGGTGTGACTGTAATACTAGAGCATGATCTATATTCAAATCATATTTTCCATCAATTTCAACACAATTTTGTCTATAATCATGACCATTATTTAGCCAAAATTCATCTGAAAATGTTAAATGATAATATCGATCAGGTGAATCAATAGGTTAATTTAGATCTGTAACTCAATAATATAATATGTAACCATGAAGTTTTAATTCATTATTAATTAAGTTATTAAGTTGCATCTATAGGTCTAATTTATCTTTAAACTTTTTATAATCTCTTTTAATAAATTGCTAAAGCTTACTATTATCACAAATTAAGCGTTAATTTGTTAAAGATTTAGAAATTGTATCTTCTGAAGCACCATTAAGTAAAGCTAATATTTTAGCTTTAATTCCTTTTGCATTTCTATGGTCTGCCCTTCTGCTAATTACTATTGAATCTCTAACAACATAGGTTAGATTAATGCGAAAAATTTTTGGTATATTAGTAGTTATATATTGTGCTGGATTATGATTTCCTTGAATGCTAATTCATAATAGAGTTTCTGAATTTAATTATGATAAATAGCATTTAGAAATAATTTTAACTTTGCATAAATGCATATCATTTGCATTTTTCAAATTTTTAGATAGATTATAATTTTTACATGATTTAAGACAACTTTCAATACCATTACATAAGCGTTGACAAGTATTTCCATCTCCTGAACAGTACATAACCTAATACCAACATTGCCGATCTTTATCAATTCTTAAGTTAATATTGGTGAGTAACTCATTTCCTTTTGAAGTTAGAACTAGAACATCATCAATGCAGTTTGTAGATTTCTTTGTTTCTGATGTAGTTGTCCATTCTAAATAATCAGCAGCACCTTGAACACGCTCAACAGTTAAAATTTCAGCCTTAACTAATGTAGGTGTAACTTGTCTGCTTTGCTTCTTTAACCGGCAAATTTTTAAAATAGGTACATTTTCTAAATACCATTCAGCAGCTCGACCAAATGGCACATTTACAGAACCATCATCATTATATTTTATTTGTTCTTCATAAGTTTGCATATTAAAAAAATATATTTAATTGTGTTACAAGTGTGTTAGGTAAAAACTGAAGAAAATAGAAAAACACAGCAAAATAAGTATATATAAGTGATATATCAAGAACTTATACTAAGCATAAAGAGAATAAAGAGAAAATGTATAAAGAAAGTAAAGAAATAATGTAAGAAAAAACGCGTAAAATGAAGAGAACGCGTAAAAGAAATGATACTAAAATTTATATATATAGTGATAAGATTTACGTGATATTGTCGAATTAGGTATTTAATCAACATCAATAATCAAAAACGCCACATTTTTTTTTCAATAATCAAAAAAGTCACAAAAATTGTACAACTAACTTCTATAATCAAAAAACAATCTCCTTAATCAAAAACGATCCATTTGCAATTTCCCTCCCTTGAACAACTATCAGCACTTGCGAAAGGTAGAGTTCTTCAAAATACAATTATCAAGAAAGTGACGATAGTTTAAGAAATATTATAAATTAATAATTAGTTATTAAACTATATTAAATAATATTATCTAATAGTAATTTACAATTATACATAATAACAAAATAAATGATTAGTAACTAATTGTACTAGCAAAAATCATCAAATAGTAAATGACCGATAATATCTGATAATAGTAGTTAACTCTATATAGTAATTTTACTTATTGGTCATTTATTAATTGATGATTTTTGCTAGTACAATTAGTTATTATGTCAAATTGTAAATTACTATTTATTAATTTATTTATTGAAAGTGTGCAATTTTTATAATATTTCTTAAACTATCGTCACTTTCTTGACAATTGTGTTTTGAGGAACTCTACCTTTCGCAA